AACACATGCGCCACCCGCGTACTTACATAACCTAAGTATCCACAGGCAAGCGACCGGGATTCGAGGCCTTCGCAGTACACAATTCGGTTGTAGCAGGTTTTGCTTTTGCAGGGCCCGGCGCGACTGGGTTGAGAAATTTAATGGGACGCGTCCATAGCGCGCTTAGCGAAACGCCAGCCGTTGTCAACAGGACCCTGCGGTTAAACAGCTTAAATTTAAATTTCAAATGTATTTTTTACTCGTGCCGCAGAACCACTGCCAGGGTTACGCTTGCGGCGGCCTGTACGTGAACATGATACGACAGGCCTTGGAAAGAGCCCCCAAGGACGCCAGAGGCATCATTACCTTCGGAGGCTATTCCAGTGGGGTGAGGGGGGAGATCGGGGTTTTGAGGGGGACGGGGTGCAGGCGGGGTTGAGGGGGGGGGGAATAGGCGCAACGTGACGCGTGTGGGCGCGTGTTTGTGTTCGTGTGTCGTACTGGCCACGTGCAACCATTAGGGTCACAGGAAGGTCAAAGACTGTTGGTTTATGTTATGTGTTGTGTTAGTGTATGTTTGAGTACGGCACGTAATACCTGGACGTCTGTATGTGTGTCTATAAATACAAGAGGGGTTATATAAAGTTATACAAGGGGGTTTCACAATCTCTGCACTCCTGGCGGGGACGTCCGTAACAGCCCCCGGGGGTGAAAGCCATAGACGGTCGGTTTTTATTATTGTGTGGCGCCGAGTCATTGTTCTCCCCCGTCTCGTTTGCGCCTGAATGTCAAGGGTAAGCCAATGAGGTGACTTAAGGACGCCGATATGCAGCCGACTTGCTTGTAGGGAGCCGGGCCAAAAACAGTCGAGGGTGATAGTAAGTAAGAATGCTTTGTTTGGTCACAGCCTAGAAGAATGCTTTATATGGCTAAAGGCGCCGGAATAGCCTCAGTAGCCTCAGTGTTGTATTATTATCACAACACTGAGGCGCATGATCAGCGTGGCGTACATATGCTGCCGAACCGCACGTACTGGTCCTGACAAGGCAACCTGGGCGGTGTTTTTAAAACTTTTTTTACCGTGGTAACGTTTTTAGTGACCAAGTGGTTACTGTGGGGGTTTCCTATGGTAACTACCTTGCACAAAAAGTTTTTCCCCGGCGAGTATGCTGAACAGGAGCCCACTAGAACCATGCATCCGAAGATCCAACTTTGACCCTATGTACGGCAACGTGTTCCCGAGCCGAGCTCAGTAAAGCAACACTGCTCCCATCCAAGCGGCTAAAAATGTTGTCGGGGGTCACTACTACCGGGGGTTCTGTGTCCCAATTTCATTGCGACCATTTGTATATTATAGTCTCTCGTGCAGTGCACGGCCAGCTGGCCCGCTGGCTCTACTCTTCGTGAATCTGGAGCCCACTGTAACAACCACACACACACACGTGTGGTTTTGGCGGAGGGAGGCTGCAAGGTCATATGATGGTGAAGGCATAGAACGTATGTATGTATGACGTTGATTACACTGTGGGCTGAAAAGCCTGAGGCCCGGGGCCGACGGGGGGCGGATGCACACGGCCGGTTAGTCTCGTGCACTCCGCCCCCGGGTCAGGCCGCACGGGAAACGACGGCCGGCACACATCAGCGCTCGTTTGGCGCTCAAGCTAGACGGGATCTATGCCCGCTGGTCACTTAACGGTATTAGGAGTCTCTGAGATTGTGGAGCAACTGAAACGAAGTCGCAACCGGGGGGCTCTTCCTGCCGACCGAACGAACCGAGCACCTCAGAGGGCTCGCATCCAGGACCGGGCGACCGGGAGCCCGACGAGTCATCCCGGGCTGGGGAGGTCACCAAGCTCAAACATCCTCAGATATAAAGAGCGCTGAGCGCTCACACCACAAGATGCCAAACAGCCTACTGAGTCTACTACCCACCCCCGCCTCTCCCTCCCTGGGCTAGTCCAGGGGAGATAGCACCCGTCGGGGGGATAACACCGCACAAGCCCACGCCCTTCCACAGCACGGGGTCTAACTTGAAAAGTATTCAAACGGGAAAACCCTGCGGCGACCCCGGGCGATCAAGCCTCCGAAAACCACAGGGGGGGAGGGTAGCCAGGTCGGCGCCCCCCCATTACCGCTCTACCAAGACGGCTGGTTCCCAAGATCCTATCTCACGTAGATGCCGCAACACACGAAACCCGGTCTCGTACCCTGAAGAACCTAGTCCTGCACCACGCGCGCACCTCCGAGTACGGCCCCTCCTGGGTGCCCACCTCCCCCTCATCCGCGCCCTCGCTACGGCCACCTGTTTCCACTCACCACCCCTCAACCCTACATCCTCTTGGTGCTCTCTCTGCCTCTTCCCCTCCCCTCCCGGCTCTCCCCGCCCTTTCCCCGGTCTCCCCCCCCCTCCGCCGGCACGGTTCCCCAGGCAAATAAACCCTCCCTCCCCCATCTCCCCTTGCGCGGCACCCCCCCAAACCCCATCTCTGACCCCGCACCCCTCGCAACCTTTCCCCTCAACCTCCCTCTCCACCTCCCTACCACCCTCACCACCTCATCCCCCCTCCGCGCCTCGACACCCTAACCCCTTATCCCCTAGACACCAGCTCCCGCCGCGTCCGCTTGACCCTTAGGTCGTGATGTCCACCGCCTCCGCGCAGCGCAGTACTCCCCCGATGATTGACAGGATCGGGTCGTGGGGTCCCACTCCCTAAAACCCTAAAACCCGAATGTATGTATGTATGTAATCTTAGCACGACCAGGGGCGGTGGCTGGGACTGGGATGGGGATGGGGTGAAGTTAAGGCCCGGGACAGGCGAAAACGAAGTGGGGTTCGCAATGCGTATTTGTGTTCGTTTGCCACTACGCACTTATTGCATCTGTGTTTTCGTCTGCGGGGCCGCGCAGGTTCTATAGAACCTGTCCTGCATAGGCCCTTATAAATACTCCTGAGCCTCCCCATTTCAAATAAGTTATTATACTTTTTACTATCGTTCCTCGATCTGGAGTCCCGTCATATACCCCTGCCGTACCCCTGCCGTACAGGCCGCACGGGATTCGTTAGAAGGCTGGGTTGCAGCCGCGGGATACAGCCCCTCAATCATCACCTACGTAAGAAAGCCTGCAGACGTGGCGGCGTACTACAACCTCAGTTCGTACAAGCTGCTGTACATTCCCTCTGACTCCGGCCAGACAACCGGCGGTATCGATGCGACCATGAACTTGGCCCTTATTGGCATCAAAGACAGGATATTCGACTTTGTGAACGAGGGAGGTGAGGATGCTTGAGGGCTTCGTGTTTTTGCCTTCGTCGTACAACCGCCTCAACCACCTGCAGCCAACCTCCGGGAGGATAACGGCCGGGAGGATAATTAGGCAAACGAGGCGAACGACCACACGCCACATGCCACATGCCACATTTGATTTCAGACTTGGGGAATCCGGCGGGGTTGATGGACTAACGGAAGCAGCCTAGCTGCTGCTCAGCGTTCGGTGCTTCGGACTGCTGCTGCTGCTGCTGCTGCTGCTGCTGCGCGCAGATCCTGAGGGTTTTTGATATTGTAATGGATCGAGGTTCTACGGATCCAAGATTAAATGTTTCTCAGCTTGCTCCCTATAACCGGGGTTGTAGAGTTGTATTGTGAGATTAGATGAACACGACTGTTCATCAAAACTCATTAACACTCACACCAGCATTCGTCACACATCACAACACTCATCATCGGCACACATCTACACATCATTGACACTCCTCCATATTGATAGAGGAGCAACCCGTAAGGCCCCCGAAAAGGGGAGCCGATCGCTTTTCCTTGTCGTACAGTTGGCGGTTAGAGCATATTCTGGCGGCTCTACGTGCTTGTTAATTAATCTGTGTACGACACGTACATGCCATGTTGCAGGTTCCATGGTCGTATTGACCCAGGGGTCACAGAGTAAGCCGTACGGCTTCTTGCCGATGCCCATGATCTTCACCGCCACGGATTTTATCGATGTCACCGTCACAAACGAAATGAAGCTTTACTCGCCTGATTCCACTTCAGAGTAAGAAGGTTTTTTTGTAGCTGTTCTGGTGATTTCTCCGCTACATACATACATATGTACTAGGGTTTGGCACTACTGGTAAGGCGCGACCATTGCCCCCGAGAGATCCCGGGATCGATACCCGTTAGGGTCAAAGTCCTTCCGATGGTGGAAAGCATTGCGCCCCTAGTTGATGGACGGTGGTGACCTGGGATTAAGTTAACCTGCGAGCCGACCAGGAATAGAGTTGCGCCGCTGTCGACCCGGCAGATTCCGTTGGATGCTGGTGGTGGGTGCGGAACCTGAGCGATCCACTGAGAAGTTGACTAGGGTGACTGGATGAGGGTGCCCCAAAATACCGGGGAAGGCAGGGTTTCGCTGGGTAGCTGCCACGGGCGAAGATACACCCCCCTGTTTCACACATTATATATACTAGGTTAGACACTACTGGTAAGGCACGACCATTGCTCCCGGGAGATCCCGGGATCGAGACCTGTCAGGGTAGAATATAAGAAAGGTAAAGTGTAACGACAACGAAAGGTTAAGTGTAAAGTGCCCCTCGTTGATGGACGGTGGTGGCCTGGGATAGAGTTAACCTGCGAGCCGACCAGGAATGTCGATCCGGCAGATTCCGTTGGATGCCAGTGGTGGGTGCGGAACCTGAGCTATCCACTGAGAAGTCGGCTAGGGGGACTAGATGAGGGTGCCCCGAAATACCGGGGAAGGCAGGCTTTCGCCAGGTAGCGGCCACGGGTGGAGATGTACCCCCTTGTTCCACACATCATACATACATACATACTGTCGCGTCATACATATATACTGTAGCATCGACAAAACACGTGCGTACGGCAGACTACTGCCGTGACAATACATGCATACATGCAAACAAATTCCCCTTCTGCCCCTGCCTTCTGTCACCTGCGGCCCCCCTCTCCTCCGCCCACCAACGTTACCAAGCCCTCCGGCGGCCACCCTCTGCCCCCCTCCTTGTCCCTGATGCTGCACCTCCCCACCTCCCCACCTCCCACCCACCACCTACATTCCCCAGTAATTTGGATCATTACGCCTGGCACGGCTATTTCACGGGACCTGTAGACTGGAACGGAATGCGCGTGGTGGCTTACCAGGCGGGATTCTGCCCCGTCTTGTCGGGTCCCAAGCAGGACTGCCGTGCGACCGGTAAGGTGGTTGAGGGAGGTACAAGGTGGTTGGTACGGTTAACAACAAACCGAGTGATGCAGCAATGTACGTGTGGGCGTGTGGGGTTTGGGGGGTTAGGGGCAATCGGGGGATTGGGTCATCCTGGCGAATTATTAATTCGGGTGGAGGAGATGGGGCGCATGACCACCTGACGACGCAGGCCCTGACCTGCTTTTCTGACGTGGTTGTGGCTCCTTCTCAGTGATTTTAAAACGTTTTCACCGTGGTAATTTTTTAGTGACCAAGTGGTTACTGTGGGGGTGGTAACTATGGTAACTACCTTGCACAAAATGTTTTCCCCAGCGAGTATGCTGAACAGGAGCCCACTTGAACCGTACTTACGAGAAGATGCGATTTCAAACCGCTCATTCCTCGAATAGCCAAGACGACGCTTATATAATGATTTGTTTATGTACGCATATAAGATATATACAGAAGGATTTGGCCGGAAATATGTACAGATAGAACCTATGGTCACTACTACGGGGGGTTCTGCAGCCCAATTTCCAGGCGACCACCATGTTAGGTGACTCCAAAACTTTCCTAGTGACCACCTTCCGTAAGGGAATTGTCTTCTCAGTAACAGCTTGGTCATTAATAACCACTTTTAAAAAGTACTGCTCCTCCTCGTGCTGGGCACAATACGTGTTTTGAAGGAATTTTTATTCGTCTCTGTCTGCCTGGCCTGGACGACGGGTTGGGTCTTGTTGGATCTGGTTGGATCTGGCTAGGTAGGTCTGGTGAAATCTATTGGATTTGGCTTGATCCGATCGAATCTGGTTAGATCTTGCCACCGTCTTCACTCGCGTCCACCCCCCTCGCTTACCCCGCGGCCCCCCCCGCTGCCCCCGCCCTAACCCACCGAGAGCAGTTCTTTGCAATTTCAACACGATGCTGACGTACGAGCAGTGCTGGGACGGACGGGATAACAACGGCGATGGGCTGGTGGACAAGCTCGATCCGGCTTGCTGGCGATGCGGTGACGGAGTGGTTGATCCGAATGAAGAGTGCGACGACGGCAACATCCTCGACGGCGACGGCTGCTCGTCCAATTGCGAGTTTCAGAACGTTCCACCGCCGCTGCCGCCATCGCCGCCGCTGCCGCCACCGCCGCCGCTGCCGCCACCGCCGCGGCCACTAAGCCCCAGCCCGCCACCGGCGCCGCCGCCGCCACCGCCGCGGCCGCCAACCCCCAGGCCGCCACCGGCGCCGCCGCCACCGAAACCACCTTCACCGGCGCCAGCACCGCCACCGCCTTCACCGCCAAAACCCGGCCCGCCGCCGCTGCCGCCATCGCCGGCCCCATTGCCGATGCCTCCCAGTCCCCCTAGCCCCCGCCCTCCACAGCCATCCCTTCGCTTACCATTGCCATTGCCTCTTTCAGGCCCTCTACCTCCTACCCTAAGCCCATCACCGCTGACAACCCTGCCGCCGCCGCCGACACCACCCTCGCCGCCGGTAGCCCCGCCGCCGATGCCCTCACCGCCGCCTTCGGATCCGCTGCCGCCGCCGCCTGAGGCGCCTCCATCCCCGCCGCTTCTACCGCCGCCTCTACATCCACCACTACAGCCTCCAACACCGCCGCCAGCCCTGCCGCCGCCGCCGACACCACCCTCGCCGCCGGTAGCCCCGCCGCCGATGCCCTCACCACCGCCTTCGGATCCGCTGCCGCCGCCGCCTGGAGCGCCTCCATCCCCGCCGCCCTACCGCCGCCTCTACATCCACCACTACAGCCTCCATCACCGCCGCCAGCCCTGCCGCCGCCGCCGACACCACCCTCGCCGCCGGTAGCCCCGCCGCCGATGCCCTCACCGCCGCCTTCGGATCCGCTGCCGCCGCCGCCTGAGGCGCCTCCATCCCCGCCGCACCTACCGCCGCCTCTATATCCACCACTACAGCCTCCATCACCGCCGCCAGCCCTGCCGCCGCCGCCGACACCACCCTCGCCGCCGGTAGCCCCGCCGCCGATGCCCTCACCACCGCCTTCGGATCCGCTGCCGCCGCCGCCTGGGGCGCCTCCATCCCCGCCGCACCTACCGCCGCCTCTATATCCACCACTACAGCCTCCATCACCGCCGCCAGCCCTGCCGCCGCCGCCGACACCACCCTCGCCGCCGGTAGCCCCGCCGCCGATGCCCTCACCACCGCCTTCGGATCCGCTGCCGCCGCCGCCTGGGGCGCCTCCATCCCCGCCGCACCTACCGCCGCCTCTATATCCACCACTACAGCCTCCATCACCGCCGCCAGCCCTGCCGCCGCCGCCGACACCACCCTCGCCGCCGGTAGCCCCGCCGCCGATGCCCTCACCACCGCCTTCGGATCCGCTCCGCCGCCGCCTGGGGCGCCTCCATCCCCGCCCTCGCCACCGCTCCTGCCGCCATTATTGCCGCCAGTCGGTCCCGAGCCGCCAGTTCCGCCGTCACCTCCATCGACGCCCGTACCACTGCCAGCACCGCCGTCGCCTCTTCCGCCACCGTTACCGATACCTTCGCAGTCGCTGCACCCACCATTTTCCCAACCCATGCCTCCAAGGCCAAGTTCAACGTCGCCGTCACCGCCGCTGCCGCCGCCGCCGCACCCCATCCCTCCGCCAACCGTCAAGGCTCCAGCCCCGTCACCTGGGTCTGCGCCGCCGCCGCTGCCGCCGCCGTCAAGGCCACAGCCGGATCCGCCGCCTGGGTTTCCCATGAGTTTAGATTTGGATTACAACTATCTGGTAGCTTCGGCACGCTTCAAGGTGCGACCAGTGGGAATTTCGTGACGTGTACGGCAGAGAAGTACGGCGTAGATATCCGTAAAGAAGCAAAACGAACAATTGAGGTAACAGGTTTTGTATTAATGCGTGGGGCGCTATGGAAATAAAGGAAGAGCCAACTGAAAATGAACAAAACGCTTGATGGTGGGTCCAATTTCTGTAAGAGCTGACACCTTTGGATCTAGTATTGACTATGATGAGGAGGCAGTAGTGGTGATGGAGGGAGGGGGTTTCCCGGCAGCATATCCCTTTGAGCGTTTCTACTAAAAACTAAACACGAGTGGACGTTCTTGTGCGTGTACGACATGTCCACATGCATACAAAGAAGGGGGCCGCTGGCGAAGTTAACCACCCTAAGTTAACCACCCTGTAACAACATACATACAAAGAAAAAGTTGATCTGCCTGGTACCGCAGGGAGATTCACCATTCGCCAGCTGCACGGCAGCCGTACAAGACAGCCTCGTGCAGGCGCTGGCCGCGTTGGTCAAGTTGCCGACCCGCAATGTCACCACGGCGTGTGCCTCCGAAACCACCACAAATAGTGGCAGTGGCAGTAGCAGCAGCAGTAGCGCCAGCGGGCGGCGAAGGCGCCTCAACGACGCGGGTACGGTAAGTAGTTTCTTCGGAAATACCGCTCTGGTTTCGTGGACGAATCGGTTTCGGAGCTGTCATGGATTTCGGCGATACAGGTCATAATGCATGTAGGGCTCATTGGCCAACCCAATGACACAGGTTGACAAGGATCTGTCTGTCTGTCTGTCCGTCTGTCTGTCCGTCTGTCTGTCTGTCCGTCTGTCTGTCTGTCCGTCCGTCTGTCTGTCTGTCCGTCTGTCTGTCTGTCTGTCCGTCTGTCTGTCTGTCCGTCCGTCTGTCTGTCTGTCTGTCTGTCTGTCTGCCCTTCTTCCCCTTTCTCTCTACCACTCTTTGCTTCCGCCGCTCTGTGCGTTCCGCCGCGCTGCCCCGTCCTCTCATTTCCCCATCCCCGTCTTGCCACCTGCCGCTGCCTTGAACTACTTTTGAACTTTTGAAAAACGTTTGCATTTCGAACTTCAAAACAGTCCTGTGATGTCCCTTCTCGGCCCCACGCTACAGGACTGCGCGGGCTCGCGCGTTGCTGTCAACATCACCTTCAAGGTAAGGCCCTTAGGGTGCGATAATAATAACAATAATATTCCGTTGTCGAGAATGGAGAGGTAGGAGAACAACCTGCGGATCCCTCCCTCCTTCCCTCCTTATCAATTTGGCGCGTAGCAATGGCCCACGTAGCGCAAATATTATATTAATTTCACTAAACTTCATTTCAAATTTTGTGCAACAAATAAAACAGTAAGGTTAGCAGGTAAGCACAATTTGAAAATAGTAATTAGCAAATATTTGTTCATACTTCATAATAACATTTTTGGTTAAAAAGTCAAAAGGTTTTTCCTCCTTCCCTCCATCCATCCCTCCATCCACACATACATACACATAAACATATACATATACACACATATATACATACGTACACACACGTGTGCAGGGAGGGATAGCTTTACCATAGGGCCTTTGTGGGGTTGTGGCTGGTCGGACGAGATTTGCATTAGGGGTTTGGATTAACGGCAAAGAGGGGGGGTAAGGGGGAAGACCTTCAGGGTCATGTACGGAAATGCTGTTGTCGAGTCCGCGTGCAGAACGTCAGTGTATGGAGGGAGGATCAGGCTGGATCAGGTTTGGACTAGAGGAACGATCAAAGGTGGGAGAAGAACCTGGACTTGGGACGTGTTACACGTGCCATGTACATGCTGCGTACATGCGGTGTTTCCGCTTCATGATATGCCTCTGCCGTACGCCTCCTTAGCCTCGACAGTCTCCCTCCAACCCAATGGTGCCGGACCATGGCATTTCCCCCTCCTCCCATTCGCCCTTTCATCTTTCCAACAGATTGACCCCGCGAGGCCGCTGGCAGCGTTCAAGGCGGCTGTGTTCAACGCCTTGTCCAACGCGGGTGTTGAGGGCGTGTGTCCGCTAGGTCTTATGGACGGAGAATGGGCGACCACTGGCAGCGTGGTGCGTGTGGCTAGCTGGCGGGCGGGAAGGGACGAGCCGTAGATATACTTCGAAATTTTAAAATTACAAAGCTTGTGGAATTTCAATTTAAAACAGCCTTCCTGACCAAGAATTCATTAATCGTCGTTCTTGTCGCTTTTGAATCAGTGGTGATCGCGTGTAAAGTTTGAAATTGAAAATTTGAAATTCAAAGTTTTGGTTTAATGATTGAGATGTATTTACATGCGACATTGCATCACCGTTATGATTTTCCGTTTTGTCGCTGCCACTTTTTCCTGCGCTGTGCAGACTCGGAACACCGGATCCACTCCCGGTCCTGTCGACTGTCGAGCTGCCATCGCAGCCGCGGGCGGCGGCGACGCCACCGCCGTACCTAGCTGCTCGCCAGTGCAGTACCAGGCGGGCGAGGCGATGGCGCCGCCGCCGCTGGCTTCCCCCGCCACCGCCGCCGCCGCTGCCGCCAAAAAAGGGTTGCCATTGATGATCCTTATTGCTGCGGCTGTAGGCTGCATGTTCCTCTGCGCGCTTTGCGTCCTCGCGGCTGTCGTATATCGGCGACGAAAGGTGTGTGTGATATGTGTGTGGGGGGGAAGGGGAGAACCGATGGGGATTAAGTATATGTGCTGATGTATGATGTGTGAGACAGGGGGGTCATATCTTCACCTTGTGGCCGCTACCCGGCAGACCCTGCCTTCCCCGGTATTTCGGGGCACCCTCATCCAGTCACCCTAGTCAGCTTCTCAGTGGATCGCTCAGGTTTCGCACCCGCCACCGGCATCCAACGGAATCTGCCGGATCAATGGCGGCTCAACTCCATTCCTGGTCAGCTCGCTAGTTAACTTTATCCCAGGTCACTACCGTCCATCGACTAGGGGCACTTTACCTTCCCTTGACAGGTCTCTTATGTATGTAATGTGCATATACATATATATACATATATATACATATATATACATACATATATATGTATACATACATACATATGTATACATACATATGTATACATACATATGTATACATACATACATACATACATACATACATACATACATACATACATACATACATACATACATACATACATACGGTTCGTTCGGTCGGCAGGAAGAGCCCCCCAGTTGCGACTTCGTTTATGTTAGGAGACCAACGGGCATAGATCCCGTCTAGTTGGAGCGCCAAACAAGCGCTGTTGCGTGCCGGCCGTCGTTTCCCGTGCGGCCTGACCCGGGGGCGGAGTGCATGAGACTAACCAGCCGTATGCACCCGCCCCTCGCGCTGTGCTTCGG